ATACGCACTAACGCAACTCCATTTGTAATTGATTTACTGGCAATCTTATGGCCACTTATGTCACTTACTAATTTTTCTACTCAATTTACTCACTCACATACACACAAACCTGAATCACTTACATTTACAGACTCACCTTACAAATAGACTAATCCTCTAACTCATTAACTCACTGACATTACGAACTTGTTCATTTACTCAACTCACGTACTCATTCGCATACCCACTCACCAGGCTAGCCATTTTAGCCAAAAATAAGACCCAACCTCAAACAAATTCCTTGAGAAAAGATATTTATATATTTGTTATCTACTATATATGTGTTGCTACAGGAAAAAAGTCCTAAAAAGATCTAATTTTAAAATGCTATAAATGTCATGTATTGAAATCATGTGAGCTTTTAATTGGAAAAATCTGTGAAGTGACTTAACGCATATGGTCCTGGACAAAGTAACACAATAAAACACAAACATGCTTAATTTAATCTTAAACACTTAAACAAAGTTTATAACATTCAAATAGTCGCAACACTGCATAATTTTTACATTACCAATCAGACTGGTATAAAACATTACCCCACCCACTAACAATATTTTTTTTTTACTTTAAGTCAGATAACATTTAATATTATTGTAATTTAGCTCTACAAAGAAACGTAATTGTATGAATCTTTCTAAATTGATATTATAATTCAGAATTTAAATGCATTTTACACAAATAATTATGATTTTTTTTACATTGTATTTGCATTTCGGTTCTGAAAACCAATCCTTCGCAATGGGTTAATATTTTACCAATGTTAAACTGCATTTTTTATAAAATTTATTTAAGAAAGACATTTTAAAATAAAATGAAAATTAAAACACTGGAAAAACACAATGTTATTTCATTTTGTGACCGAGGCCCGACTATCCATATTGTCAACAACACTACTACACATGTACATATTACAAAGCCCATGTACAACGCTGAAATTATATCTTCTGTAATTTTTGTGCCCAGTGCTATTGATCTCTTAAACCTTCCCTTCTCACAGAGATATATTGTTCCGCATCTGTAAAAATGTTACAACATAATATGATAATTAAAAGGCAAACTTTGCATTCTGCTTTTAAAATGAAACAATTTAATGTAAAATTGAAAATGTAGGTACTATAGTGCAGCATGCTTGGATTTTGTTTTTAGAATTATAATTCTATACTGAATTGTCTACAAATAATTCATACATTAATGAGACACTTTTAGCCTCAGCAGTGAATACATCTTTCATCTTACATCATGTAATACTGTTAATCATAACAATTTAAGGAACCCTTACTGTGAAATATTATAATGTGCCATATAGGTAGGAACAATGAACAAAATGGCACCTAAACTTCCATAATGTTATAATTTCTACTTCGTTAATTCCACATATAACACAATACTCAAATAACTATTCTTGATTTCCTTCCATCGTTTATTTGTTGATAATGTTTCTAAATTTCTAATCTAAAATTAGTACTAAAAGCTGCATTAAATAAATTTCATTAAAACAGAAAAAGGGACATTTCATCGATAAATTGGGTTTCATATTGACTCCAGATCTTATTTTGGTGTCCAGTCAAAATGAGTTTTACAAGCAAAAAAACACACCTGCACATGGCTTCAAGTAGCAGTCCTAATTTAACGGAATATTTCCGCATTGTGATGGATGTTTTCATACAAATTTAATCTTTTTCGTGCAATGACTACTTTTTTTCTGAACGCCAGGTCTTATGCACTATGAAGCTAATACGGTTGAGGTGTGTTTGCACAAGAACATCCCATATTTGTTGTGTTTCAGATAGCAAATATAACACTGTGACATAGCGCATACATGAGCTGATTATATGTTAAAAACTTTAGTGTTACAGCGGGGTTTTACATTAAAACTGTTTTAAAGGTTAATAAAACTGTTGAATGCTTGGTTTTTAGGTAGGCCGACAACAAAATAGTTTCACATTTTATTTAATGCAGCCTTAAATTTACAGTCAGTGTTTTTCTTTCTTACATATATTTGACCAGTCACTGAATATTTTATTTCCCAAAATAATATGTTAACTCTCAAAACTTTAGTATCTTGACTGTCACTCTTGAATTCCCTTTGGAAATTTTCTACCAGTCAGTATTTACAGTAAATACTCTATCTCTCCATATTTGGAGGTTACCCTAGTGTTAAATGACAAACCTAAGCCATCTATATTTATGACGACAAGTGTTACTAAAATCAAACCGACTGATTCCTAGAATATTTATGATGGTAACCTATTAATGAGTTACCTAAAAAGATCTATTGCAGGCCACTTGTCCAGAATTTATGAAGATAACCGTTGACAAGGTTACCATACTAAAATCTCACAGACTGATACACAATCTAGCACCACAGATTTATAATTATAAATAATGACAACAAATGAGGTCTCAATTCTCATACAAACTATATCGTTAAATCAAAATTTAACCAGGTTAAAAATATAGATTGTTTTTCTTTGATTTACCTGTTTGTGTTTTTAAAGAAATGCTTGACCTTTTCAAACAGAGCTCATTTAGCCATCTCAACTAGGAAATGGAAAACTCGTGCCACATCCAATCAACGGATTGATTTATGTTCGACAAAACGTATGCTTCAGGCTGTTATCTCTCGCTAAATATTGTCTTCTGAATATAATGTTAAGCCCTTCCTCTGAAAATAAGGTATAAAAGTCCCAAAACATTATCAAAATATAGTATTAAAATGATATAATAGGGAAACGCCCAAGATAATGTTGGTATCAGCAAACCCTTTTGTATGTACATTTATTATAATCATGCTATAAAATGATTTGAATTTGTGTAGATATATAAATATCTGTTGTATAGACATCCAATTGTTTAGTTTTCATTCTTTCAATAAGATATAAATGTATCTAAAAATCACATACCATCTCCCATGGTGTAGAAGGATCGTGCCCATCCATCTTCTAGCTAATTATGCAACAACTGTTCTTAATTGTTGAAAAAAATGGGAAACATTTATTAAATATACATATTACTGACTCTGGTATCATAAGGGTAGATTATGAATTTTAGACAGCATTCGGAAAGAAAACAATCGAAACAAATATAATATTTTTTGCTTTTAAAAAGAATAAAATGGTTCAAGTTTTAAAATCTATATCAAATGCAATTTTAAGTCTGGTCTGTTAACACCTCATTTTTCCTCTCCGAATATGTCATCCTAGTATTTATGTAAATTTTGTGTTTTAAAAGCCATTTTGGTAAGTGAAAACTAGTGCAATATAATAAGATTATCAGACTAGTCCAAATTGTCCAGATTGGAAGAATAAAGAATAGTTAAAAACATAAGACATGTAAGATATAAAACTTTGTTTTGTTTGTCTGTTTGTTTCATTTTTTACGCCCTTTTTCAACAGTATTTCAGTCATATAGGCGGGTAGTTTCCTAACCATCGTTCCTGGAGAGTTATACCAGTACTTGACTACCTTCCTCCGCGCTAAACAACCAAAGCATCTCCCGGGGATCGGGGATCCCTGATTGAATGTACGGGGTGACTTTTAACAGCCTCCACACGGCACAAACAACGCTGATGTGGCGATAAAATAGAGAGATATAAGAATCATGAAAGAAAGCCCAAAATTGAAAATGTTGCAGGCTCGGTTTGATTGAGCTTTTTCATGGACGGTACTATCAAGTGCAAACTACATCCTCATCCCCTAGCACCGGCTTAAGCTGGATTTAACATTTAACATGAACTGGTAAAATTTAGAATTTTAAAACATCCGCAGATGTGTTCATATTGCGGTTATCATGGAACCTTCAATGTGACACGTTAGTGCCATTCCATGAAAAGTGGCATATGGTCCCTAAGTAAAAAAATCGTATGCCCTTAAAGAGAAAACAATAGGCGGAACTAAATAAAATGGAATTTTGAACGGGGATCTGAGGTTATGAAGCCTGCATATCACAGATATAACGTCAAAAAACTAATTTAAAAAGCAGGCCTCATATCATATGGGTGAGTTAAGTCGTACAACGGCCTATTTACCTTGTTTATACGATAACATGAGAAGGAATATATCCTGGTTTATTTTATTTGGAAAGGATATTGCCCATGGACAGTAGATAGCATATAAGGTAAAATCCTTGTCTGATGAATAATTTAGAAGGGATAAGCCATGGTTTATATAACCCAGAAAGATGATTGCACCTGATCAGTTGATGACATCTAATAATTTTGAGGTTATTGGGTTAAAAATCAGTGTCACAGTGACGCTAAATGTAAAATTATTGACCAGTCAATAAGTTGTATAAAAGGCACTTTCATAGGCTGGTGAAATAGGGGCATCCTTGTACTGTAGCACATGTCTAGTTAATTAGGGAAATTCATATTAATGGTGTAATCTGATTTTTGGTTATTTATCTCGTGGCCACGACTTAGCTATCTCGTGGCCAAACTTAGTAACTCGTGGCCACGACATAGTATCTCGTGGCCACAAGATAAATAAAAACACACACATGTCACCTTTGTGCCACCGTATACTTCCGATCTTTCCACGAAAATATAATAAACGTCGCCAGAAGTGCATAACATCAAAGTATGGTGTAATTTAAGAGATACGTTTGAATATCGATTTTTTCTCAACTTAATGATCGATTTTTCAGGATTTTACAGAGAGTTATTTTTAGGACTTTTTTCTCAAAATGTAGATTATCTTTATCATTTATTTAATCGTGAAAACATTTGTGAAGGAATTAGTTTTACCATATTTTTATTATGACTGGCCTATCACATATTTAACGCAGATAAGACACTTCATCACAATACATATGTACTTACGCAGACACGAACTTACACTTTCACCACGTAAGATTAACTTATCATTTAATTCGCCCCCTCACCCACTTACATACAACATGGTGATGAGACACTTCAAAATTCTTAGTATTAAAAGATTTATAATGTAATATACTAGAGATAATATTAGGACAATAACATTTAAACATCTATTTGAATTATTAACAATATACATATATTTGCATCAATTTATATCAATACTTCACTTGTGAAAGTGCTTGACAAGGATAGCATAAATATATTTTGAAACATGTATTTTCTTCAATTGTCAGCGTTTATCATTTTGTTGTTCATGCACAGTAAGTTTATTGTAGTTAATTTTATATGCAAATGCACATTTGTTCTGTTTATATGTTTGTATTTTTTCATCATTTGAATATGATAATTAAGAGCAAGATTTGACAAAATGTTTATCTTTTTAATGAAATAATTCTGTTTTATTTGACAATCGTGAAGTTTATTTATATGGCAGCTACCTGTTAAAATATTGTTGATATTTTGTATTAGCCTGATGTGTTGACCAGTTGTTTCAATACAATTGAATTGTAATGATAGAGCTTGATATTGTTAAAAAAATTTACATTTGACAGAATCACATAGTCTCCCAGAAGGATTCTGTAACAGGGCTGAAAGTCAACAGAGTAAGTAGAATATATTATGTGAACAGTTTGTCTAATCTAAAAAGAAAAATGTATTCGTTTCAGACGTTTAATACATTTAGATTAATTTTAACATCATTATTTTATTTAAGATAATCAGGATGCTGATACATATACGTTAAAGCAGCACGCCCCCAGATTCATCCTAATTTTCATGAAAATTTTGAAAATGTATTTAAAGGTAAAATATTGTGAAATGAACAAAGAAAGTACTTGACACTTTACAATCGGCACTTAAAATCCACGTAAATTACCAAAAAGTGGTCAAAATATGCATCAATAGCCCCTACTGCGTTAGTAACGCAATTAAAATATTGTGAGAAATACTACAAAGTACAGTCATTAATTGCAGATAAGATATAAATTATCACTTGAATCTTTAATTTGTTTTCTTTTCTCAAAGTTTTAGTATGGTTTTTCCAAGTTTAATTTTCTTGAATTATTTTGGGTCATCTGGAGGCATGCAGCTTTAAAAGGCATTTGAAAGCAAATCATATCACTATTATTCATTAATGAAGATGGTACTGAATCAATTTGTCACCCGAAGCTCAAAAAGCGTAGAAATTGTGAAACAGGACACCCATATTTAAGATTTTGAACTCTAACTTAAACAGCTAAGATATACTATTTTAAGATAATCAGGATGCTGATTATTCATTAGTGAAGATGGTACTGTTCCTTAGGAACTTGCCAATCTATCCTTTAAAAGATGAACATATGAATCTAACGCGCAAGATATTCTTATGAACTTGCAGACCCATATACTACAGAAATTGTGAAACAATACAGCCATATTTAAGATTTTGAAACTTAAACAGCTAAAATTCCTAGTCTAGAAATCAGCTCTTCTATGATATAAACCACATTCTGATAGAACTGAGAGTTTTGGAAAATGCTTCATCACTGTTTTTTTTTCTTAATAATAATTTTGTTATATTTGCTAGCTTGTAATTATTAAATACTTATTTAATACCCATAAACTTGAACATTTATAATAAAGCATATATTGTGTGATAAAATAATCATATTAATTTTTCTTACAGTTTTAAGAATATGTACAGAGGACCGGATGCAAGATGCAACGACTGCTTATATTGATACTTTTGAGGCTTCTAAATTTAGAAACACATCTTGTGAATGTCACATCTTACCTTCTAGTCACTACACTATTTTGGTGTTTAAGATGATAATTATCACTCAAGGGTCACCATTGAAATTTGAAATAAAGGGAAAAGTTCTTGATAAAAAAACTAGCGCACATATAGTACGTATCGAGGAAAACACTAAGCTTAAGTTTATTACTCAAACAACTCGGAAACAAGAGGGAGCTTGTCTCGCCATCTATCCAAGTACGTACCACATTTATATTTCAATTACAGATCATTTTGATACATTGTAGATATTGATTTTAAATTGAACATAAGTCTCCAGACCGTAATCATTTAATGATTCTTGTTTTATGTTTTAGGTGGGTTGCGTGTGTGTGTGTGTGTGTGTGTGTGTGCGTGTGTGCGTGTGTTGGTGCGTGCGTGCGTGCGTGTGAGTGTTCTTTAATTTTGATTTCGAGATGACCAAACATTAAGCATAATAAATAAGCTTTAAGTTAGGTAAAGATTTATTTTCTGTTTAGGAAAACCAAGTCAAGAAGGCACATTCAGTATTAATTGCAAAAATGTTGTTACAACAACAACAACAACAGGAACGATGCCAGTATCAAATTCAACTAGTCAAATGACTGAAACCATGTCTTCTCTGTCATCAATATCTAAATCCCACACATTTTCAACAAAAAAACAGAAGTCAACTGCTCAAACAAAAGTCGGTCCTGAAAATACAACAGACAACGGAAGTAGTGGCATTAAAGGTATATTCTAACAAATTGAAAAACAATGTATCATTCAAATTCAAAAGTCGCAGAAGGTTTTTTTATCAGTTAATGTAAAGATTCCAAATTCAATTGTTTGGCTCATTTTAATATAAAAAGAAACGGCATTACTTATTTATTAAAACAATATGTATACATGTATATGATTGATAACAACTTTTGTGACGCAAATGACATTTAGTAGAATTTTTTTAACTGAAAACTGCTTGTTACATACATAAATATGTTGATTTTGATTTTTTCATTCAACGTTTATTTCAAAATAGGCTTTATAATTTTTTTTAGCTAAAATATATTTTAATATACAAATAAAAAAGAATCAATACATAAAGAGCATGTTATGTACGTTAAAATTTTTCCTTTTTTTAGTATTTTTCTAGAGGTCTAGGTGCTGCACTTGTCGATGTGATTCATTTGTAAATACGGTCTTGGGTCTTATTTTTAGCTCACCTGACCACGAAGTGGTCAAGGTGAGGTATAGTGATGGGGCTCTGTCCGGCGTCCGTCGTCATGCGTCGTTCGTCGTCAACAATTGGGTTGTTAACAGTCTAGCAGTCACAGTTTTAATTGGATCAACATTAAACTTTGTAGGAATATTTGTCTCAATGAAATACAGATCGAGTTAAAAGATGGGTTATCTCGGGTCAAAAACTAGGTCACAGGGGCTAAAAATAGACAAAGCTTGTTAGCAGTCTAGTGGCTACAGTTTTGATCTAAATATTCTGAAAATCAATCAGGGATGTTTGTTTTGATGATTTCTAGGTCAAGTTAGAAGATGAGTCATCTCCGGTAAAAAACTAGGTCACAGGAGCTAAAAATAAAAATAAAATATTAACTCTCTAGTGGCTGCAGTTTTGTTCCAAATAGTCTGAATATTTGTCAGGAAGGTGGTTTTGATGATTTCTAGGTCAAGTTTGAAGATGGGGCATCTCTGGTCAGTCGAATACTAGGTCACAGGAGCTAAGAGTAGCAAAATCTTGTTAACATTCTAGTGGCTGAAGTTTTGATATAAATATGCTGGAAATTTGTCAGGAAGGTTGTTTTGATGATTTCTAGGTCAATTTCGAAGATGGGTAATCTCCGGTCAAAAACTAGGTCACAGGAGCTAAAAATAGAAAAAGCTTGTTAACACTCTAGTAGCTGCAGTTTTGATCTTTCAGGAAGGTTATTTTCAAGATTTCTAGGTCAAGTTTGAATATGGGTGGTGTCCGGTCAAAAACTACGTCACATTGCCAAAATTCGGAAAAACCTTTTTAACACACTAGAGGTCATATTTTTGATTCAATTGTCATCAAACGTGGTCTGGATGCTGTCTTAGACATTGCTTAAATGCGGTTGATGGGTCAGGGGAGCGATCTAGGGCCATCATGGCCCTATGGTTCAGTATTAGATATTTATATGTTTACAAAAATGTCTTATAATTGTAAAGTTATTCTATCAAAGAAGGTATTTTATTTGACATAAATGAATTTGTTTTATTTGAGACATGATCTACTTTGAAATGAATTGTGAGTACATTTTAATGAAGTTTGAAGTTTTGTGTGTGTAGCATAATACCTTCACTGCGAAGTTGCAAGAAAAGATTTATTTGAACATTCATAGGTTTAGCAGAGATGTTCGGACTTTTTTTATTGAAAATACATTCCTCTATAACATGTTTTGCAATTTCTTGCTTTGTTATGAAAAATATGAAATAGACACCTGTATATTTGTATTCCTTTACGATATCTAAAGTTTTTGATTTTTGAATGTAACAGTATAGTAGAGTATTTTACCCTTGAATAAATTTAGAACTTTATTTTAGAAGTATTAAATTTAAGTTTTCAAGCATCACAGTAATCAGAGGAGATATTTAAAATGTTTTGCAGTTTTTCCTGCAATTTCTGTCATTGAAACAGTTCTGTCTGCGCAAAGTAGCATGGAAAGTTTACAAAATATACAGCAACAGTTTCGAACTCATTATGTTGAATTTCAACCCTAATGTGTTCTTACTGATGTTCATGAAATCACTAATATCATTTAAACATACAGAAAAAAGCAGGGGAGATAAATTTCCACCCTGTCGGACGCCCACATGTCAAGGGAAATAATCAGTTTTTACTCTATTTACAAAAATGCATGACTTAGCGTTTTCATACATATTTTCATAAGATTTAAGAAAGATCCGTATATTGTTAAGAATAACTTTTACCCAAAAAACATCTCGCCAAATAATTTCGAAGTGTGTATTTATAAAACAATAATGAATTTATAAAGAAAAAGTTAAGTTATCAATTTCATTACCAACAATGAAGTTACCACTGTATTATCTACACGTATATTAAAAAAATCATAATAGTAATGTTTGTTTTTCAGTACCAATTGTGGCTGCATGTATCGCTGCTTTCATATGCTCAGCAGGTTTTGTAATTCTTATCGTTATAATTTGCAGAAGGTTTGTTCTATAATTGTTAATATGATTTTTGTTTTGTATTTGTTATATTTATATACCAACATATGTTGATGTGTTGCTTGACAAACGAAATAAAATTAAAGCCAATTGGAAATCAGAGCAATCAGACTCATAGTTTAGATCTATTTAAGCTATTTCTTGCATTCCTCTGCATTTGTTTTGCCTTTATTGTGATTCGGATTTCCCAAGAAAGCTATTTTAGCCATGCAATCAAATAGAGAAAATAAAAATTTTTAAAGATAATAGATTATTATTATTATAATATACCTGTATCAATACAACAAACTAACTATAGCATCGTGGAAGGAAAAAATATTCATCAAAGATAAAATACAACATTCCAAATCTTAAAATACACTAACAGAATATAAATCTTGTGATTTGCGAAAAAAAGTTCAATTACGAACATACGGTACAGAATGTCTTGCAGCATCTGTACATGTACCACATTGGTGATTTAATCCAGTGTTTTATAGTATTGCACATTGGATACCTACGGCCGAACCATTCACATTGGTCATATTATTTCGCCGATATCGAATCGATAAGAGGTGTGCCAAAGACAACTTTTCATTGGTTGCCTCATAATTTTTTGAGACGATTAAAACCAATCAAAACGCTCGTTCTATACGACGTTTGATGAGAAGTTAATTCTAGAAAATATATAACAACTGTGGTCTCTGCTTGTGGAATTATTTTGTTTCGGGATAGTTTTGCCTTTAATATTGGAAGACACGTGAAACAGGTTTACATCGTGGACACTGCTATTTTGTTTCTGATAGTTGTTTGACTTTCATCTCGGAGAATATGAATTTTGCTAAACACGATTTCATTGGTTTATATCTTACGTACATGATGCTGTTTATCGACACAATTTAACAACAAGTGATAACATGTTATATTACATGTAAAATCAGCCGTAGGTATCCGAAGATGATTTGTTGCTGATTTGTTATTACAGTTGCACACTTGTTAATAATATAATTAAAAGTATAGTTGCATGTACTAGTATTTTCTGATTGAAATGTTATTTTCAATATTGCGTAGTAGTAATATCAATTGTACACGTGATGCTTATGAAAAGGTAACATGTCATCTTAAAGAGACTCCACTGAGGTTTAAAATCCTATAAACAAAACATTTGAATTTCTTACATAAATGAGCTGGGGCACTTTAAACAGAAATATTTGCAAAGACAGTTAAGAAATATACTTTGAAATAAATTGAAAATCGTATTTCTATGTTTTTCTAAGCCTAATTTGAGTGAAAAGCGTTTAAACGCTTTTCATTTTGGGTCATTCTTTTACAATTTGAATAATTATTCTGGAAAAACGATGTGCGGGAATGATCTGAAATTTTGCACAAAGTTTATTTGTCTCAACCTACATAAAATTGAACATTTATCTGGAAAAATATTTTCAGTCCCATCATGTCAAAAAAACCTCAATGGAGTTCCTTAAATAGTATTATCATAACTCACATTTGGAACGATTGTTGTAATGATGGATCTAGTGTTTGTATATTTAAGGCATCGGTCTTTTAAAGAAAAAAAACAATCAATCAAATGAAGTCACAATGTCTGACTTAGACCCTAACACAGGACAAAGTGAGTGTGATACTAACACTTACGAAATACCTGACCAAAATGTTTATGAAGGTCTAGATAGGCAAGACAATGTTTCATCGAGTGAAATGTACCAGCATCTGTATACAGAAACCAAGAATCCAGATTGCGAAATGTAAGTACACAATAATTAGAAAGGAATAAAACTTTTATAAATGTCATATATAACACATCGGTAAATATTGATACAATTTTTCTTATCATAATTGACATCTTAAAGCGATTGTTGTAATGATGGATCTAGTGTTTGGTATATTTCAGGGATCGGTCTGTTAAAGAAAAAAGAAACAATCAATCAAATGAGGTCGCAGTGTCTGTCTTAGAACCTAACACAGAACAAACCGAGTATGATACTAACACTTACGAAATACCTGACCAAAATGTTTATGAAGGTCTAGATAGGCAAGACAATGCTCTATCGGATGAAACGTACCAACATCTATATACAGAAACCCAGAATCTAGATTGCGAAATGTAAGTACACAATAATTAGAAAGCAATAAAAGTTTTATAAATGTCGAGTGTCATATATAACACATCGGTATATATTGATATAATTTCTTTTGAATAAAGAAAGAGTAAAACATAATCGTTACATACAATACAGATTACATTTACTATCTACTAAGCTTGATATACAAAGTTGTATATTTTCCGTCCTTTGAATCGCGTGAATGTACTTTGGCTGTGCTCATGAGATGTCTCCTGTTATTTTAGCCAGACAATTAATACAAAGTATAAAGGAGTAACAAATGAATCAACAATGGAATAATTTTACTTCATTTCAGTTTGTATTTATTTTGATAAAATATTAGCAGCTATTTATAAAATTCCTCAAATGGTTTATTTTGTAACAACATCATTAAAGTGGTTAATTCAAATATTGCTTTTTTCTCCTATGGTTAAATCAATTAATGTACAATTAATACAATTAATGCACCATCCCATTCTTATAAGTTACAGAATATGTATGTCATATATTAAAAGTATATCGCAAAAAATAACTGTACCGTCTTTAAAATTCGCCACGAGTCCTTAGGGTGTTTATTGTCATACTATGTTGATTAATTCATCTTTATTTCTTTATATAGCAAAACGCAAAAACCTTAGTCACCGACTGTTCGGACACATACAGTTTGGAAAAAGAGCATAACAATACGCATGATAGTATTTGTGACAGCATATATCATGTGAACTCGTCAAATGAATATGAAAGTTATAAAACTAAGGCAACTGATCATATGTACGAAACACTACAAAAAGACAAATGATACATACTAAGAACGACGTTATCTAAGATTAAGGAACACGAGTTTGTCTTTTCATGTAGGCATAAGCTCTCTTTATACTAGGCATCGGAATTACGTTAGACTTAAATGAATGCTAGAACTTGCGAAACAATATAGCTAAAGCTACATGAGTTGAAAAAAGTGTAATCAAGAGGTTTCTTGGAAGCGTTCGGCAACACCTTAAATAAATCTGATTCCATGCACACCTATGAAGCATCTATAATAAATTGATATGATGAAGTTGGACTTATAAAAATAATATCCTTATCTAGAGAAAATAAAATACAGAGTTTACAAAAAGGAAACGTATACTTATTTTCATTAAGGCTTTATGATTTAACAATAACAAAGAAAAAGACAAATCATTTTTAACAAAGAAAAGTACATTTAGATCTACACAAAAGTTTGAAATCTATTTTTTTTCGTTTAAACAAAAATTGTATGTATTTTTGTTTATGTAGAGCTAAGATATTTTTATTCATTCAAAAAACTGACACCCCGTATTTATCCATTGTTTCATTATAATTCAAAAATCAACGTAAATAGCTTGCCAATATAAAGTGGTTTTAGTTGTCATCATGTATCTTATATAAATAGATAATTTTTACAGCTGGTTTTGAAAGATTATAATGAACAATAATGCTTCCAGACTAATGCTTAAATAAGAAAAAATCATTGGAAATAATAAAAGCTTGAGGTATAGTTTTTAGAGAGAAACTTACAATTTCACTACATATCGAACGATAGTTATGAGATTTTATAACCATAATTGTAATGTGGTAACCCTAAATTGAGAAAGATTTAATTTTGGTGAACGCATCGGTCGGTTAGGTATTATTTCTATTGTAACATAACTAATCTTGCCATTCCATAAAAATATAATGAACATATTTTTTTAAGATAATCAGCATATTTATGCAAAACTATTGAGTTGTTTTAGGGTATTTCATTATTGTATTGTAGATTACTTTGACAGTGTTTATTTAATTCACAGTTTTTGCAGTGATAACTTTGTACAAGTTGTAACATTTTAAAGGATGCGATTTGTGATATCTAATATTTATAACTGTGTTCTTCTATATATCATTGTGTTGTTCTTGGTGTCAAGCTATCATCCCTTAACGATGAAGAAGATACAAAATTTCAGTTTTGCGAGTTTTCAATCAGCGGATGACCATGCCGGAATGTAAGATTTCAATGATAAAGTTATGAAACGTTCATATAATCTACAAAAGGCACTGACTTATATTATCTTATCACTTCTACTTTATGTACGCGATTTTTGTAAAACAAAAGAAAGAAAAGGAAGCGGCCAATTCGAAATTTGTAAATATTTTTGATGTTTTACGTCATGTTCAAATTGATCAATTTTGAGCTTTAGAATAAGAGATGCACATGCATGATTAAGTTTAAATTGAAATTTTGTATTATGTTAAACTGCATATTGATAGCACGAATAAATTTATATTTTACCTTCATTTAGCATTTACATATTAAGATATTAAAAGATATCATCCTGCTAAATCTCATGATTACTGGTGTTATAATGGACATAAAGTTATGATATTTTATTTCATATTTAGCGCAAGAGATGTATATATGTTACATATAAAAATAATATACCCATATCTGGGTGAAAAATACAGCCAAACAACATAATTACTACATATAAAATAATATTCCAATGTCTTGGTGAAAAATACCGAAAACATAACAATTACATAAATAAAAAAAAGTATTGACTATTGATAACCGTTTGGGAAAACACCCTGAGGAGGAAGAAATTTGGAGGTGTTGGTAAAATTCAGACTGAGCAGATGTAGCGTGCTTTTCAATTCTAAGGGGTCAGGGGATATATCCGAATGACGGCCCATTTATATCAAACGAAGATGACATACAGCAAAATTGTCATACAAAGGAGTATTTTTGTACCTTTAATTACCTTTAACTTCAATATTTAAAAATGTCATCCTCGGACCTTAACCACGGCTTGGCTTATTCCTTTCCAAGTCATTGCTTGGACAAGAATAAAGATGTACGTAAGAGGAGTTCAGACATATGTACAGATAAACCATCCTATCACACTTGTTTAGTTTGGGAATAACAACTGAAGAAATTCATTAAAGGGTAAAACAAAGTAAGAACACAAATACCCTATATATTCATACAGTAAGAGTTAATGTATTTTTTGAGAAGCTGCTATTAATGACACAACTGACTGAATTATTTTATTGACAGACAAAGTAGAAAGACAAATCGAGGCATAATATGGGCACAAAATTGTCAGAAATTTGACTTCTAAACTGATGAAGATAACATAAAATGAGCGGAGAAGCATAGGTTCTGCACTACACACCACCACACCACCTGAGCCATGATTGAACTTATTTATTTAAGGGGTAATATTGGTTATAGAGCAGACACGAAATTGTCTAACATCTGACCTCCAGATGTGACCATTACCTTTTTACCTTTAGTCAGTACAGCGACGGCATTGGTAATATGCATTGTCTTGCTGAGATAGATACATATTTTAGCCCAGTTTTAAGATAGGTTTTCAAGGTTTAAGTATTTTAGGACAGAAAGAGTAACAGTTGTCCGACAATTACTGTTTTCCGTTACGACCAGCGCGTTTCCTCTGAGAATAATAAGCGCAAAGCAAGACAGTATGATGATAACAGTACAATGATGGAGTACTGTCACAATCATACTTCACATTTCGTACTGTCACAATCGTATTGCCATCACCGTACTGTCACAGTCGTACTGTCCTATTGTCACTATCATACAATCATACTGTCACAATCGTACTGTCACCATCATACCGTCACAGTCGTATTGTCACAATCATACTATCACCATCGTACTGTCACAATCATACTGTCACAATCGTACTGTCACCATCATACCGTCACCATCGTATTGTCACAATCATACTATCACTATTGTACTGTCACAATCATATTGTCACCATTGTACTGTCACCAGCGTATTGCCACCACCGTTATGTCACAATCGTACTGTCACCATCGTACTGTCACAATCATACTGTCACTATCGTTTTGCCACCAATGTACTGTCACCATCGTACTGTCCTATTGTCACTATCATATCATCATACTGTCACAATCGTATCGTCACCATCATACCGTCATCATCGTACTGTCACAATCATACTGCCACCATTATACTGTCACCATCGTACTATCACAATCATACTGTCATATTGTCATTATTGTACTGTTGTACTGTCACCATCGTACTGTCACATACCATTTTCAAAACAAAATATCAACACGGAGGAAGACGTTGACGATGTCATAAGAACGCAATAGCTTAAAAGGCATGTTTCTTCAACTGACGTCATGCTGAGTGAAATATTTGCGTATGCTTGACAAGAAGAAGGCAGTTAAATGGTGAAGCGCGCAGTACGATAGTGACAATCGACAGTACGATGGTGAAGCACGATATTAAAATGGTGGAAGACCATTGTTCTGTCGTATTGTCGCGTTTTGCTGTCGTACTGTCACTGTTGTTCTTTGTACTTATCGCTTTCAGAGAAAATATGCTTGCTCTAACGGAACACTGTAGACTAATGGCTCTCTGACATTTTATCTTCGCAACATCTTTCCTTGTTTAGGTGGACAAATGAATTGAATTACTTTTTTGTTTGTGTGAGGGCCAATTTAGAAAACTAACCATTAATGACAGAAAATGACCTTACTCATCCCCATTGATTTCTATTCAACAGTAAAAGGCAAATGACCATTAAATTTTCAGTCCGAAAAACTAATTGTCATTGAGAAATTACGCGTATGATTGAACCAGCTACCCCTGGATTACAAATTCAATTCATGGGTCATCACTTTTAATGTTCTCTCAGCAAAAGTATTTATTACATGAAGCAAAGGAGTAGTATAAAACTGAACTTGTTATAAAAAATATAGCTAGGTAATATTTTTTCTTTTACATGTCTCAAACATAAAATGTAAAAATACATGTGTTATTTCAAGCCACACTTTAACAGAATAATGTTATGAATTTACCAAAAAAAAATTATATCTTTAAATTGCGAATATGTATTATTATATAAACATTATTTTGTTGGACTTTGACAATAAATACAACTGAAGCCTTCAATTGGTTTTAAGAAATCATGCCATAAGTCAAACTGATATG